CCCCAAAACCCCCAAAACCCCAAAACCCCGAATGAATTAGATTGATTTGGAATTGAATATGAGAATCAAATTTCAATCAAGTAAATGAATAATAATAACTGAAGATCAGATTAATAAACCTAAAACAGACATAGCGAGAGCGGCCATTGAAACTACTAAGTAGAGACCATTGCTTCCACCACCACTACCACTACCAACATCAGCATCAGCATCTTGAGATAGAGAGTACTTAATTTTGATCATATCTGCAGCTGTGTCTGTATTCATTATCAGGAGGGTATAATCTTTCTTTTCCTTAGCATCAATTATTAATTAGTCATCAATATCCATTGGATTCCATGTGTCATCTCTATCTCTGAAGTAGACCAGATTCTTAAGGGAATTCTGTTTGCCATAGAGTGTGAATGTAGTCTTGGTTTGAGTTCCGTCTCCTGATAGCTTGATGATACAGCCCTGCTCACTCTTAAGAGTGATGTCAATATCATCATCTTGAGTGCCTTTAGTCACACTAACACCATTGCAGGTTGCGGAATAGTCTATAGGCTCAGTGAGCTCATCAATACCTACTTCAGAATCCATTCCAAATCTCAAATTGTTGCATTAACCTGTTTTCTTGACGTAGAACTTGAAATTTGATATGCAAGTGTAGGGCTTCTTTAGCATGGTTGGATCAGAGATTGCGAAACGTGTGCTGTCAATGTTCTAATAACCACTATTTACCAAATTGGTCTTTGCTGTACTTAATTCATAGTCAGTCATACAGGCTTTCCAAGCTTATGTCACAGCATTATTATCTTCACTCATATAGTCACCTTGAATCAAAACGCAAGATTTGCCAGATCCTTGGGACTCGCATTTACCCATGCTATCTTAAGCCTTAGGACAAACACCACAGTAGCAGTCGTCATACTTATTCTAAGGTACGAAGGCCATCAACTTAAACTTCTATGATTATTGAGCGTTGAGGGAATCTTTAGAAAGTTGCTAAAGTGTCTTACAAACGTAAGCTTCATTGAACTCGTTCATAACGCAATTTGCTGGGGAGCCAATCATTCTAGTACAGTAGTCTGAATCATCAAGTTAGCATTCAAGCATAGTAACTTTGCCAAGGAACAGAGCAACTGAAAGAGTTATCAATCTAAACATTTTTAATTAAATATTATTATTTCTTGAAGCCTTTTACTATTAAAATATATCCAAAGTCTAATCTTAACTGTTTGAATCCAGCAGAGGGGTTTTGGGGTTTTGGGGTTTTGGGG